ATTTTCCGGATGGTGAGATGCCGATAATGGGGTTGCAGACTGCCGAGTCAACTGGAAAGTGATTAAGCACACATGACGGAATCCACGGATTCGTCAGGATATTACGAGGCATCCCTATTCTCCCATTTCTTCGCTCTCTCATTCGCATCTTCTTGATCCTTCGTTGTCTTTCCTCTTTATTTCTCCTATATTTTCGACTCTCTCTTTCCGCTCTTTTTTTTTTTACTTATACTCCCAATTTTCAGTACTCTCTCTGGCATTGTATTAGACGAATAGAGCTTTCGTGCTCTAACGAATATGCATTTCGATCTAACCAGCGTTGAACAGACTCACCTTCAGTCTCTTTTTATCATTAACTGAAATTAAATCATGCTTGCACGATTTTAATCCTACCTGTTCCCAATCGCTTGTCTGGAAATTCGTTGAATACCAGAAATTTTAGTTTTTCATTTTGTCTTCTTATTCTGCATTATTATCACAGATATCGAAATCCTATATTGACATTGCGGATAGGCTAACGCAATCAAAAATTAGCTGCTGCAGCCAATTAAAAATGCTATGCCATATTTTACCATCTAATTTACTGCAGCAGTCAATCTTTTTTTTCAGTGTGCGATTAAACTTTAAATCTTTTCTTAAATCTTTTCATAAAAGAAGGTAGTTGAAATAAAAAAGTAAATAACTAGAACTTGTAATATAATAAAAATTGGAGTGTTCGCATATACACATAATGTATAATTTATTTCATGATTTCTACGTAAAGCAACATAGACGGATATATCGTGTTGCACGCGACACATAAATTCGTGTGCGCAAGATAAAATATCGGATTATTACTTTTACGTGGGATTAAATTTCGTTTCGGCAGCCATTGTTTTCACGGGCTCGAGTGTGCTTCGTTATTCAAATGAGATTAAAAGCCCGGGGCTGAGTGGGAGCCCGGTCTCGTTACAGTCGAGTGGCTAATCGTCGTTATGCGAAGATCGAAAGTAGCTCCATTGTACAAAAAAGCTCCAGCATCCGCGAGTTTTACATACGTCGTCGAATCGTTTTATCTTTTTCTGTCGGTATTACAAATAAGGTCGTAAAATAAAACTTAATATATTGGTTTCTCGAAAGAGATAACAAATCCAACTACAAAAAAGGATAATAAAAAAGAGAAATAGAATCATTTGACTAATCTGATTATTTAAAAAGAAATATATATTTGTGACGAAACTATTTCTCGCTATTTAAGAATCAACCTATATACACAAGTGACAATAGACAAAAATATAGAATACGGACGATTATTCAAAATCACAATTGTTTTCGCGAAATGTAGCCACGCTTCGTTATTTCAACGCAAACGGGAGACGGAAGTCCGATCTCTTTACGGTCGATCAGTCGACAGTCATTATAGAGTTGGGGATTGAGAGTGGCCCTATCCGGAGAAAACCACGCGTTGACCGATTTCAGCACGCGCGAAGGGATGAGAGAGAAGAGCCAGATTGTCACGGGGAATATGCCTTCGGGACATGATCGCCCGCAAAACGCAAAAAGGAACGGGGTGGAAACAGACTGGAGAGTCCATCCAATCCGTTCGCGTATACTATACTCGCCGAATGACATAGAAAGAAAAAAAGGGAATGGCGGGGAGAGAGAGAGAGAGAGAGAGAGAGAGAGAGAGAGAGAGAGAGAGGAAAGAGAGAGAGCCGTATTGGCCTCGTCAAGCGGTTTCAGGCTTGCCGATATTCCGGGCGCTTCTCGTCGACCCTTATGAAGCCAATTACACTTCGCCTCGCCAAAGGCACCCCACTTATATCCGCGCCCAACATTTCCCGAGCTCTCTTGAAGCCGTGATCAGTTCCGCGGCACGTACTAGTTACATTAGATACCAATGTAAAAGCGATATACCTTGTCCGTTATTCAACCTGTGATAGCTATGTACATCTAATTTTACAATTTGTTATCCGAGTGCTGTAAACTTAGCTATCTTCGATTTAAATTACGTGTACTTTTGCCAAAATTGCAAGTTTCATGTTTAACAGGAAAATAGTTCAAATAATTAAAGTATTAGTAACGATTTATTACAAAGTATAAGTAATTAAAAATTTGTAGATTGTTATTTTATTTTTAAAAAATTTTCTATTTTATTTTTAAAAAAAATAGAATTATTTAGCAATATCATTTATGCCTGTTTCTATTAATGTAAATTAATTTTATAAATAAATTAAATTATTTTGAAGAACTCTTACATAAAGTAATACTCAAAATCTTACAAAATGGCAGTAAGAGTCAAACACAGATAAAGGTGCGTAAATATATAATCGTTTTATTAAAACCTCACAGACGTTTGGGGTCCAATTCGGATCATCCTCAGTGTAAAAAAATTGTGGTACAGACTTCTTATGAGTTTTCCTCACACTCCACAAGATAGCTGTGAATCAACCGCTTATATAACATTGCCCGACCGATGTTCAAACACGTACATCGTACGACTGGTGGCAAATAGAGTTTAACTTTAATCTCGGGGTTCAATTTACTCTTCATCTTTTTCTATAGCTCTAAGAAACAGAAGAGTAAACTGAACTGAGATTAAAGTTAATTTACATTAATAGAAACGGGCATTAATTTTTTGTTTGAAAACAATCAGATAAGCTTTTTCAACAAAGGACTATGCCCAGTTTTATAAAGGAATTTAGGCCCTGAATGAACAACTTTGAGACATGCCTAAAATTTTAAGGTATCAAAGGAGAATCAAAAATTCCATAAGCCTAACTTTATAGAAGTTTCCTGAGTGCTATATTTCAATTAGGCAATTAAAACCTTTTGTTTCATACTTTGAGTGTCTCTCCCTTCTTCGTCGATTAATATATATCACTTATAACTATTCATTTGGGATCCAAAAAAGGTTTCAGTTGTCTTCGTCAAGATTTGACATATTCCAGATACTAGATGATTCGAGAAATCTCGAACAAAACCAGTTCTACATGGTACACAATACATGATTATAATAGCGAATTTTGAACAGCTGTAGCACTCAAGGGACTCATTTTACAAAGTTGTGCATATGGAACTTTTTAATCCTTTTTTGATGCTCTACAATCCTAGCTAGGTCTGAATGCTGTTCAGCCAGGGCCTAAACTTGGCATAGTTCTTTTTGACGGATTGTTCTATACAGGGTGGCCCATGTAAAGTGTTACAAGCTATTATCTCTGAAAGTGTGTGTCAAATGACTAATATGTTCAGACAAAAGTTTTATGACTTTGAGAGGAGCATAAAATGGTACCATTTGTTTGACCTTGAGTAGCGTTGTCAAGGTGAGAGCAAGGCCACTTTGAATGTTTTAAATGGAACTCCCCATTTTTTATTACATATTCTTGTTACTCTCTTACCTCGAGAGCTTTCCAAAACACTATAATTAAGTTCAGCGAGGTAAACTACAAGAATGTGTAATAAAAAATGGGGAGTTCCATTTAAAAAATTCAAAGTAGCCTTGTTCTCATCTTGACAACGCTACCCAAAGTCAAACAAATGGTACCATCTTATGCTCCCCTCAAAGTCATAAAACTTTTGTCTGAACATATTAGTCATTTGACACACACTTTCAGAGACACCCTGTATATCTCATAATCTATGTAACGTGGACTTGATCGATCGCAATTATTCAAAAATGGTATTGATATCGATATCGTTCATCGGTCTGGGATGAATTATACGGCATTAAATTTCAACAACGACTATTCTCTGGACGACGATCCCGAATGGCGTGTGCATTCCCACTTCGTGTTGGGTGCTAGTTACAGAGGGTGCGGCCGTGCACGCTGATCAATGCTTGTTCTCTTGGCACGAAAGAGAGAAAGCTCGACCTCCGTCACTTCGTATGTTTATATTACAAACCTACGCGATATTAAAAGCATAGTTTTCTTTTCTTGTTCAATTTCTTTGATTCCATCGTGTGATAGTACTATTTAATTTACTCCATATATATTAACATGCGAATCGAAGTTTTCATTGGTGTGTGCGTTTTGTGATATTCAAAATTTTTAACATCCATAATGATAACATTAATAGGTAATTTATAATATTGTGAAAAAAATCATTATTCTCTTTGAAATAATCGCACGCATATTTAATTTTACTTTTGATAATAAAAGATAAATGAAACTTTTATCTTTTATAAATATTGTAGAATATAAATACATAGACTTTTTTTTATAAGAAAATAGAAATTTAAAAAATTAGAATAACGCATTGCAATAAAATTCGCTTGTGTTTGTCGCGATTGCCCAAATATAGGAATTTTCCGTGTATCCATTCATTACCGGTTCGGTCTTTCGTGATCTCACCGCGATTAAATTGAACATCATCACTTAGTGACCGTAAAATTGGTCACGCTGCCAGCTAATGATAGATTAAACGTGTTATGACACCGTTAATCACGGGTATATGAGATGCATCCATGATTAATGGCGGATTTATTTTATGTTCTAACGTTCGCACATTAATTCACGAGAACTTCAATCTTGATTATCAAAGAAATAGAAAATATAAGAATGAAAGTAAAGGGACGTGACAAAAAAAGTTCTAAGAGTCAAAGTGAAATCTCACTCCAAAAGAGTTAAAATACTGCTACTGTTAAAAATTTGCACTTCTCTCTCTCTCTCTCTCTCTCTCTCTCTCTCTCTCTCTTTTCTTTTTTTGTGAGATATATTCCAAAGGAAAAAAAACTGACTGGATTGAATCTCATTCTAAAAATGTAAAATTTCATTTCAAGAAAAGAGTGAAAATCTGCGACTCTTATTCAAGAGTGCAAATTTTTCATTTTTTTAAATAGTGGCAGTATCTTAACTGTTTTGGAGTGAGATTTCATTCCAAGAAATTTAGAGAGCAGAACGGAAAAAAAACAAAATATATAATTAGAAATATGTAGGGATAAATGGAAAAAGTTTGTATTGATATTGTTATTTGATATTGAATTTAAAAAAATGGTATATCGATGCATTTTTTTGTTGTAGGTCTCACGAGAGCACCAATGTACCCCTTCTCAACGGGCCAGTACCCATACCCCATGCTTAGTCCAGAAATGACGCAAGTTGCGTCCTGGTAAGTAGAAAAACATATTTATTATCATTTAAAAATAGAATTTTACGTCAAATATTATTTGTTTATTTTTTTTATACCTATATCAAACATATATAGTTTGATAAAAGCTTCAATTTAATATGCAATACAATTACATCCATGTTATTCTACGATTGGTTGCATTACAATATAACGTAATATTATTTCAATTTTAATCAAACATATATTCAACTGTGTGTTGAGAGCGATATTCAATTTCGCGATGTAAACGCACGCGTCCATAGAACAAGAATCGTTTTACATTCCCATGTGTATACATCCTACATATACATATATGTATATGTACATTATATTATGTTTTATATTAATTACGCATTAAATAATCGATTCGTGTTTCACAGTAACGCAAATGAAAAGTAATGGAGAGCATCGGATTTCGATCGCGCGCCGAAGCGATTCTTGGTGATTTAAAATCCCGACACTCAACGCAGATCGTATATCACGAATTGTGCACAAAGGCTACTAAATATTCATAAAAGTATCAGCAAAATACAAGGAAAACGTTATATGACGAACCTTCTCAATAAATTTTTCGTTTTAAAGTAAATTCTCTTTCAATGTAAAGTGCGCGAATTTACATGATAAACGTCGTTAGAGTTTCTGTGGTTCAAAATATGCCCACTGATCTTGTTAATTTCCTCTTGTTAGTAACGATTGTCGGAGTTACACGATATTTAAAGCCGACTTTTTATTAACAGTTTCTATTGCGATATTTCTTACAATGTCAATTATGAGATTATCTACCTTTAAAATAAGACACGTATTCACATTCCGGTTCAGTTTTCTGAACAAATCTGGACATTGAATAAGTGTGGGCTGCTGGTCAGTCGTCCTCAGTTCCGGTCTATTACATCGGATACGGAACTTCGCCTTATCCTTGTGGTCCTCATAGACGTCACCCTCTTTTCGCAAGGAGACAAGTCCTTACGAACAGGTTTTCGTTCGAAGCCGCCGTTTCCCCTGCTCGTTATTTGCTTTACGCCCGATTCGTCCCAAATTGCGATTTTCCACGGATGATTAGGTTTCTTCTTCTCAATTAGAAGGACCCACAATATCCTTATTCGATCGACAATCTAGCGCGCGGAAAACTGTTTGGACGTCGACATCACAGCGTGCCCAGAATCTAACTCACGCGGTTTTAAAGGGGTGGCGCCCATCCTTGAAAAGAGAAGAGTGTGAGTGGAGGCCACTTGCAATAATGAGAAGGTCGGCAGCGTTTTTATTACGCGAAGTGCATGGATCTGGTCTCTGTGTTCTTGACAACTTGGAAATGCAAACAGGAGACACAAACTAATTACTCTTACGAGAAGCAGTTTGTTAATCATAATTAATTAACTGTATTGCTGGTCGCGCGATGCTATACAAATATCATTATAATATACTTTACTCAATGAATTAGTTGTAATATCGTATTTGCGATATCACAAAAGTATACATTTTTTACAAGAATAATTAAAATTATTATCAATTATTGGTCAGTTGTTTAATTAGGAAAATAATTCAAATTTAAAGATACTTAAATTACAATTAATTATTTTCATTTTGTTCTTTTCTTTTTTAATTGCTAAAAATTAAATTTTTTAACATTTTGATTTTTTTCCATTGAATACATAATTTACCAGACTTTAAAATTTAATTTACGTACAATTTTACAAATAGCAATTCCCGTATATAATTTATTCAAAAATTTCATACCAGGTATGGCAAGATCGATGTTATTATGAAACGAGCAAATATATAAATATATTAATCAATTTCCTAGAAAATTCCCCACTAGCGTTCAAATTTCGAGGAAATATTTTACGGGAACTCTCGTCCCGGAGAAGACACATCTGGCAATGATAAAAACTTAATTAAATAAATATTTACAGGCACACACCGAGCATGTATCCCATCTCGCCGGCAAATGCGGGTTTCCGAAGTCCATATCCCACGATACCCATTACAAGTTCTAGTTTACCAAGGTTAGTAAAAAATATATTTAATATCGATAAAAATCGTTTTCGCCGTGCTTGTTTACTATTATTTATAACTTTCGAGATTAAACTGTACCTTGATTTTTCAGTGATCTCTACCGGTTTTCACCGACGGGCCTTATGCCTCCGCATCCTGGTCTGAGTCCACACGCACACGCGCTAGCGTCGCATGCGTTGGTATCAGCGCCGAAGGCGGATCACTCCACCCTGGATCACAATCACAGGTTCGTTATGACTCTCAATTTCGTATCGCTGGCGACATCTGAACAGCTAGCTACAAAGCCAGCATCGATTATTCCCATTTTATTTCCCGATATCCTTTGTCTTTCCACTCGGCTCGATAAACTTTGCGGGATTAACCACGAAGTTTATCTCAACTTCGGCATCGCTGTTGATCGCAAAAATATTGAAACATTTAAAGCAATGACTTACAAGTGATCTAGTTTATATTAACGATCTAACGATCAATTATCATGATGACTAAACGTACAAGAAAACTTTGATGTACAAGAAAAAAAGAAAAAGAAAGAGACATGCCGCAAAAAGAGGTGTCATAATCTTTGAAACGATGCGGCATAAACTTTCAAAGACAATTAATGAACTTGCCGACTTGCCGCTTGGAACAGTTTTATCTCTACCGGCGCTTGCAATACCATCGTTGATTAATTACTCTGCAGCGAGGTTATAATTAATTTATAACACGTCGTCTTTTATTCGCACACTAATAAAATAGCTATACGCGATGACTCGTCGTCTATGAGTTGATAAATCGAATGATAAAAAAAATTTATACGGAAAAATGAATTTTATTCTTATCCAACGTTAAACAATATTCTAAAAAAATAATCACACATACTTCCGTATATGTATTGGAATATATATGAATACAAAAAATGGAATGGATTTACCGAGAGTTACTATGATATATGAATCACAATTTTCTTCATTAAAAAACATTTACTTCAAGTATAATTGGATCATCGTGCATTATAAAAACAACTAAAAATATATTACAATAGTTATATTATATCAACCCAAATAATCTGCAATTTATTGAGCCATAAGAAGAACGCTTGATAAACGTTGATGAACGAATCAGTGGATAACTGTATTATTAATTGGACATTATCTATCATCGAGTGATACTCTGTTACAAGGATATTCTGAAGATTATCCTGCAGATATTATCCATCGGAAAACTCAGTAGAATTCTGCGAGAATCTTCCTAACCACCCTACGATTGTGTGCCGATGCAGCCGTATCCCATGAAGCGTAAGCGCTACGTGCTTGATGCTTTTGCTTGACGATCGATAATAATATCCGAATAGCGCTGACAGCTGCAAGACACGAGTCGTGTACCAACGCAGCGCGTCTGCTGATAAGGAAGCGTCGTGCCGAGGGTGAGGATAGTTGCGGCGCGAGAATCGTAGGGGGTAGCACGTCTCGACTACCCCGGAATGTTTGGCCGAACCCTTCGTCGCGTGCACTCTTCACTCTTTCGCTAGTTGAGAGAGCACGTATAACACTTATCGAATGATTCTCTCGACACAGCGTCTGCGCCTGCTACCCCGACGCTGCCGCCGCCACCGCCGCCAGTTATGTATTGATCATTACCTCTTAAACAGATTTCTAATTTACATTAGTACTCGAGCGATCGCTCGCCCTGTATCCGCGCAAATACAAAGACGCGTGCAACACGCTTTGCGTCTTTTCTCTCTGTGCTTCTCTCTTCCCCCAACACTCTCTCTCTCTCTCTTCCTCTCCCTCTCTATCTCTTATACTCTCTACATTGCGCGCAAGTGCGAAGCATCATGAAGGACCAGCTGACTCATCTTCCTAATCCATCAGCGACGCATCCACAAAGATGGTAGTACCGCATTTTCAAATTCTCATAAAACTCGTTACACATTTACATCCACATCAGTCTATTGTTGCTGCATCAGTGATACAAAGAGCCCTTGATTCTCTATTTAGAAAAACAGATTGGATGTTTTCAATTTCAATCTTGGTGAATAAACCGTGAGAATGCTGTGTTTTCCAGAGACTCTGATCTTGTTGATTTCATTTGAGAATAGGAGTAATCAGTCAACGTGAGTGCAAAAATTCAAAATTCGAAAAGTCACCATCGATCGTTCAGTGACCACATACATGAAATCAGACGTACAAAGATCCCTCGATAGGAACGTTGATATCGAGAAAGGATAAAATTCTTCGAGTAGAGTGCCATCGCACTCGCAAGTGATCCATCTTGCTAACACGCCGTACTGCTGGCGAGTGGCAGCAGGATACCCAGGTTGATCGGTAGTCGACGGCAGCGCCGCGACAATTGGTCAGAAAAGGAAGAATCACAGAGGCACGTAGAAGAGGAAGGCCACAGAGAATGCGATATTCGCTGCGTCCCCCCCACGCGCTCCCAGAATTGTAGAACCGGCTGATGGTAGGGTTGTCTCTATCGCCGCGAGAGCCATGAATCGCGATGATGCCACCCATCTCGCGATGCCACCCTCGCGCAACCCCGCACTACCCGCCCTCCCCCCTTGCACAATTCCCCCGGCCACCCCCAGACTCGCCGATAATCAATCGTCGTAACACCGGTCGGTGGTGATTCCGCTGACGCCAGAAACGAGCGCGTTTGAGACGCGACGGAAAGTGGGAGAGAGATACCAGGTACCGTGGTGCGCGAAGGAAAATCTGGCGTGAGGATACGCGAAGGCACGCCGGAGACAAACGGAAATCGAGATCAGCGAAGAAGACGAGGTGTCAACGTGTATCAAGAAAGGGTAGAGTTTTCGTGCGAGCGTTACGCGACAAACGTCACTGGAAATCGAGACGAGAGGGTGCGTTTTCGTGATACAATGAAACGAGTACGCTATAGTCGTCGATGAGATAGACGGGGTGTTTGGTAGGTATATAGAGCCAACCCTCTACTAGCGGCGGCGAGAGGAGCGGGAAGGGGGAGAGGGGGAAAAGAGAAAAGCAGAGAGAGAGAGAGAGAGAGAGAGAGAGAGAGGGAGGGTGGCGAGAAGAGGGGGTGGAAGACAGACAGAGAGAGCGAGAGAGAGATATGACGAATGGGTGACCGTGGGATGCCGCCCCTGGAGACATTTCACCGCACGAATCGCCGGGTGACGAAGTCGCGTCAACGACTGGCGCTGGCAAAGCGGTGGCGGGTGGACGCGAACGTGTAAATGAAGCCGATCAACGACAGCCTAGCAATGATGGTGTCATTAGACACGTCGTACGTAGATACGACGCGCGGCAAGTACGACGGCTACCACGTATATCTCGGAGACTTCCGGCGGAGCGAGGCTGCCGCCAGCGTCTGGCGGACCATCACGGACGGCGCGTAAGTGTGCGCCACCGCGTACGTGCTGTTTACAACGCTGACCGGTTTACGGGGCTCCGTTTCATCATTTTACGCGCTCGCTCTAACCCGAGAAAGCGTGGGGATGTGAATGGAGAGTGTAAATTGTCGAGTGCCGCGGCTGGAGCCCAACCAGCTTGTCTACCTGCGATGCCGCAAATGACGAGCATGCCGTTTTCCGGAGTTGATGAGAAGTAACGCGAGTGAGATGAGGTCGATGAGGGTTGATACGAAAAGGAGAATCTAAGGCCCTAATGTCATCGAAAGTGGACGGTGATTTGATTCGTTCGTTTCGTGATAATTAATCCCCGAACAATAGCACTCGGGACCGACCGAGTGAGATCGTGTGGCGTTTAGGATCGTTCCATGGATCGATTTGGATCACTTCGGCGGTCGGCCCACGAGTAAGCACGAGGTAGTCCCGTATGTGGCGATGGAGCCAGCCGAGTGCCTGGAGCCGCTGAACTTGGTGATAAAAAAGGACGACACTGAAGACAGCGGACCGATCAGGACTGTGATCGCAGGTGTGAAGATCGCAGAGGCGTCGATCGACGAGGAGGAGAAGGACGCTGTTGTGACTGAGGAGAACGCGATCGAGGATAATATGGCGATATTCCAGGACGCTGTCAAGTCTGTCGAGTCCGGTGGTTTACCAACTGCGGATCACAAACTCTTGACCGCGCTCTACATGAGCAGTCTCGTGCAAATGTCGAGCTTAAGCGCGCCGCGCGGCATTGCGCCGCCGCCATACGGCGCCAGCCAGCAGCAACAGCAAAACTTTATGCAGCTGCTGGCGATGGTGGAGGCACGACATCGCATGTGGCAGCAGATGAACTGGCCACTGCCGCAGAGCTTTCTGAGGAGTCCGCTGACGCTACCACCGACCACGCCATCCTATTTTGACGGCGCAACGACGCCGACACCGACGCCACCGAATCTGTCTGACCAGCTATCCCAGAACTCCGCACCGACCTACCCCCTGTCCTGTGCGAAATCTGAACCCCTTAATTCTGAGGTTAAACAGTCCTACTTCAATAAACGGTACACAAATGTGATCAATAGGCTTTGTAGAATCTGCGTTAATCGCGCCCAACAAATTCATCTTGAGTCTTACATGTGTGTTGCAGGTCAACGATAGAACAGAAAAACTCCACATCGTTACCTACGGACAATGCGAAAGCTCAGGACACGGGACAACAAAACAATCAAGGTAAGGATTTAAGGGTATTCGAAATCACATGTGGATAATCGTAGTATTAGAGAGGCTTGACATTGATCAAAGTGAATGGTTTATTTAATCTCGTTGTTGTTTCGACAGATAAAAAGAAACCCCATATAAAAAAGCCTTTGAATGCGTTTATGCTGTATATGAAGGAAATGAGGGCGAAGGTTGTGGCAGAGTGTACCTTAAAAGAGAGTGCCGCGATCAACCAAATATTGGGAAGACGAGTGAGTAAATCTTCTTATCTAGATATTTTTTTACACTTAAAGTAAATTGTTCTACTTCGGAGTAGCAAATTTGAATTTTTTTATTCATTGAATATCGTAAATTATTTTGAGTAAGAAAATGCTAGGTTTATATCCAGATCAATAAAATTAATTTATTGCACTCTGATGTAAGAATAATTAAAATGTGCAAAAGTCAATATTTTCTCTTATCTCATAGTGGAACAAGATTTTTGAAATATTTCGTGTAGAAAGACAGAGAAGAGAAATTAATTTAATTTGTTTGTAAGCAAAATTTTAATTTTTAGCAATTTACTCAGAGTTAACTTAAATCTACAATTAGATATGTAATCATATATATTATCGTTATAAAAATTTTACTTATGAATTAGATAAATTTTCGTTATAATGAAACGATTTGGTTATTGAATTTTTATATTAAATATCAAAAGTTTTATTATTTTGATTTTATAACATTCGAATGATAAAAAGAGAGAAAATATTGATCGACTGTTTATTAAAAATATTCCAGACGAATTTTCATTCTGGATATACAAGTATTGCATGTATTTTTAACGCTTTTGTCGAACGAATCATCTATCGGGTTACTAATCGGAGCTAACTAACCATACCTACTAGTATCTCAGTACAAATAGAGCATTGTAGGTGGGATCTAAGGAAATCTCAGATTCGCCTTGATAGAAAGAACTGTGACAAAAAGGGAAGGGTCGAAGGGTGGTTTTTGTGGGTCTCATGGGACATGTGATGAGTCACACGAGTCAATGATAGTGACTTGTACACTTGTCGCTAGTGATAAATAAGTTTGAGCAAGAGAGGGAGAGAGAGCGAGCGAGAGAGAGAGAGAAAGAGAAAGGGAAAGGGAGGGAGAGATAAAGGGGACGGTGCACGGTAATAAGTACTGTGAGGCTGTGAATCTGTGAATCTCTGAATTTTGGGGATATGACACGCAGTGGCACTCGCTAAGCCGGGAGGAGCAGGCGCGGTATTATGAGGCGGCCAGGCAGGAGCGCCATCTGCATCAACAACGATACCCCGGCTGGAGTGCTAGGGATAACTACGGATATGGCAGCAAGAAGAAGAAGAGGAAGAAAGAGCGATCCGCAGATCCCACCGGAGGTACCACTTTCCAGTGCTAGAACAGCAGGCCCTTAATAATTCATAATTCATATATAATAATTGCTAGTATATACCTATACTGGTTGATTGAAACGATCAAAGTCTCTGTGCGTTTCTTTTTTCGTACGTTTCTTTTTTTGCGTTATTTATTTATTTATTTATTTATTTATTTATATGGTTTTCTGGCATTCAGTCTTTTTCAACGTGTGCAGGCTATATATATATATATATATATTTATCGACATATATGTATATCTCTTGGATATTTTATATGTACATATATGCATATATGTATATTTTTTCGTTTTTCGAAACTGAATTGGATTGGATTGTCTGTGGGGATTGTGGAATGTGGCACAGCAGAGAATTAAAAAAAAAAAGAAAAGTACAAAAATAAGAAACAAAAAATGGAAGAAAATCAACACGGACTTTCGCGGCATGCAATGCAATTCTTTTTTTTTATCTGGCCAAACTCCCTAAAGCGGTATTCGTTCTCCGGTGAATAAGAAGAAATGAGACGAGACAAATAATATCACCGATGATGCGATAACGAGAGCGAGAGTGAAAACCAAAGCCTTAGGTACGGGATGTCTGGTAGAGCCTAGGGCCTGACCGTTTTTTCTCTTTTTTTGTTTTTCGCTGCGGGGCGACATCTGCTCACAACTTGCTTGTCTCCCAAGATGAGTCATGCTACGGCGATTTGACGAGAATTGTCCACTGACAATCCTCGCCTTCTTCGAAATTCATTTCTTCTCTTTCTTCCGTTTTCCCGTAAATATTCAATAGTATATATACGTGTATATACCTGAAATAAACGTTTCTTTTGGGAAGTGACAGTATTTTATCATAAGTCTTACATCAAAGACTTCCCTTTACTATTTCGATGACATACGTGGAGAAGAATTGAGGCAGGTGACAAACGGAAATACACTGGAGGAATCAGCATTTTTTTAATGGATAATGCGTTCGTATTACCGAAAGGATTGAAAGACAGTGAAACCTAATTGAATTTGTAATTCTTAATCTTTCAATTGTACTTTGATAAGTATGAAATTAAATTAATAAATAAAAAAATTTATTGGTTGAAACGATATATTATTATATATGTATATCCTAAGGATTGTATCTTCTAATGATTGCAAGTATATCAATTGTGTATAGCGTTCAAAGCTATATACTCAGTTACGTTTTCTTCAGTGTATATAGACATGCAAACATTACTCTTTCACTTTTTCATCCGCACGCGTACTCCACTAAAATTTTTTACCGTCTACTCGTTAGATCGTATTCTCTATCAGACACCCTGTATGCCTTTAGGTTATTAATATCGACCACATGCGACGAATAGCGGTGCGACCGAGGGGGAGGGGACAACTTAGGCTGTTCTTCTAGCACTTTAAACGGAAAGTAGGGACCCCAGTGTTACTGAAATGCTATGAGGCAACGAGATATTGCTAAAAAAAATAAAATAATAAAATAGATAACGAAAAAGTAATAAAAAAAATTAATTTCTAAATAGAGTTAGCTAATTTTTATGCAATTAGGGTGGCGGCAGTAGCATTAGTGAATTTTCTTTTTTCTTGATTAAAAATATTGTTTAGTCCACACACGGTTCATGCACAATTACAAAAAGTGTTTGGTTCTCTCTCGGTAGTGGCACGCGCTAGGGCGAGAGGAACAGGCCAAGTATTATGAGTTGGCGCGACGGGAGAGACAGTTGCACATGCAGCTGTACCCTGACTGGTCTTCCCGCGCAAATACCAACCGAACTAAGAAGAGGAAGCGCAAACAAGACACAAACAGTGATCCTGGAGGTACCCACATGCCTCACTCCACACATTCTTACAATCCCCTCGTCATAAGGAAAGAGCCCCTGCCCCCTCCACCCTATTCATTATTACATATATACTATTATATTATATTATACATTCTTATATTGCTACACTATATTATGTTGCATGTTTCCTCCCCGTCTTAGGGGTTTTGGGTCGATATCTATATTATATTATATTATATATATATACATATATATATTTTATTATAACTATATTATTAAACACACACGCATATACGTCCATATATACATATATGTATATATATATAAATGTGACTCTATTATATATATATATGGTCTTTTACATTAGTCGCGAATACGGACGTGCACATACGCATGCGCACGTGCGTGCCTATATATCTGCATTACACATTGGCAACATGTGACACACATTATGCACAGGACACATGCACACATCACATGCTCACGCGTGCGCGCGCACACACAATCGAGACAAACATCCATGCATTTTATTATTAATTACGTATACAACTTTGGGGACGCTGGCCATTTTGCATTTTTACAGGGACCTACTCCGCAATCAGACAATCCTGAGCGTTTAATTTTCTTTCAGCCTTTTTCTCTCTCTCTCTTTTTTCTCTCTCTTTCTCTCTCTCTCTCTCATTTATTCACTCTTTTTTTATTTTATAAATATTTATTTTTTATTTTTCCCCTTATTCTCTCTCACTATCACTCTCTTATTCTTGTACTTTGATTCTTAATTCGTACATTTATTTTTCTTTGATCGTTTCAATGTTGCCTGAATTCCTTGATTTTTATTCTAATTTTATTATTTTCGTTCTATCGTCACTTAATCGAGTCACTCAGTTTATTCTCGACCTCCACATATGAAAATTTCGTACGATAGAACGTTCACATCCATAATATTTTCGATATTTCTTTAGATATATTCCGGAATTTTTATGTTTATAATACAAGTCACGACATTTCAACCAAGTAGATCTTTGATCGTGTTTTTAAACTGTTTTAACGTTAACGTTGCATGCCATATTATTTGTTTGACAAAGATAAGCCATTCATCTAGAAAGTGACGTAAGTCTGATTTTGAAATAAATTAAATAAATTTATTTTAACATCTTATTGAAATTTATATCATTAAAAATGGATTTGCATCGCTTTCAAAATAAATGATTCGCATCTTTGTCAATATGCGTGGATCCTTCCTCGAAGACTATCAACTTCACTGTATGAGATTATCTGAAGTAGAAATTTACGCAAATACATTCTTGTATTTTTATTTGTTTACGTCATATTTTTATGTAAAATTGTTTTTTAATGTGTTATATTTAATATCGATAGCGTCTTCGATGAAGGTCTTATGACATATTGTTTACAATCCTTTGAGGTCGTAACACCGAAATAAATTTTTATTACATTAATTTTAAAGGAATTTTATTCAATTTTAAAATTACATCTTGTATAAATACGACTTTAGGTAATCTACAGTATCGAATTTTGTAAAATATCTTCTCGGAAAATTGAAAACCCATAATGCATATTAATAATCGGTGTTCTTGGATCTCAAGGGATTAACATCGTTCTGTTACACGCATGACTAGTTGACATTCGTTGAATTCATTTGACATTCACAGAAACATAAGTACGTTTGACGCAAAAACTCGGGCACTCTATACTACGTAGATTATGTCGTTTCCGCATATTGAATCGTACACGACAATTTCGCACGGTTTGTCAATATATAATATTTATTTATATTATTTATATATATATATATATATATAAAAAATATGCTCACAATCCCAAAGAGTAATTTTTTCGGAGTGCGCACCATCTGAATTTGTACAAAACACAATTTTTGTTACAAAAACTCGTAAAAACTTTTTCTAACATATCGTTTTTAATATTGCTAATAACTTTTTAATTAGCTGCTACTAAATCTGAAACTGTTTTCCGATCTTATCTACAGTCTTTGATATTAATCTTAATTTTACTTACGTTTACTTGATTTTAGCATATTTTTCATCAATAAAATTAATTGATACACAAACATTTTATTAAATTTTATTTATGCTCATTAAAAATTGCAGACTTTCCTCTTTTCAGCGCAATTTTTAATTTTTTAATAATTGAATACTTTCGAAAATGACAGCTGATTAGTTTCAACACCTTCCCGTGGGACACTCTGTATAAACATCTGTTTTTTTTTTCTTTACCACGTGATCATAGATTACTCGAGTTGATTCTTTACATCTTTCTCACATAGCGATGTCAATAACTACGTCATTCTTTTGGCAGAATGTACTATGTCGAATAGTAATTCCATTTGCAAACAATCCACGATCATGGCATTAATCATTACTGTTTCCCTTTCTAGGTAATAACATGAAGAAATGCCGTGCCAGGTACGGATTAGATCAACAAAGCCAATGGTGCAAACCCTGCAGGTATGTGTGCCATGTGCAAAGCTTTTTTTCGATATATTTTGTGCTTCAGTGAGAAAACAATTGTCAAACCGCGCGTACGATTTTCGTGGTTTGTGTGTAAATATATACTAAATTTTACGGAAGTCAATAATTTGGCAATGTCATGTTTGTCGATTGTATTTTTAAAAAGTTTTACCTTGTCTATCATTCAGTCTAATATAGAAGATACAGTACACGAAATACTTCGTTCACCGATATCATTAATCTCGTAAAAGAAGATCTCGGATTCTTCCGCGTAACGTCAATCCTCTGTTTCACTTAATATAACGAGTACATAATTTAACACTTTACTTGGTAATGACACTCGAGTAGCTTACTTAAAGTGTACTCTGGCGCTTTAAAAATAACTGGATGATTCGGAAACGTCTGTAAACGTTATTTTCTACATGTACTAATGACCTTCTTCAAGATTGTTCGCGACATATCAATCACGATTCTAGTATTCTCGATTTTCGCTATCTCGTATCGGTCTCGGACCCCGTTCCGTCATCCACATGTTATCCACATGGAACTTAAAGACATCACCAAATGGCATATCTCCGGAACGTACACAGAAAAAGATTTCAAATTAACCATAATATGCTCATATATAAGCAAAAATATTGTAATCTTGTTTCAAAAATTTAGTCTTGATTTGATTGAGTTTACATTGATGCAAGATTTTTTATAAAGCAAATCTTGAATTGAATGCAAAGTAATACTTGTATCAACACAAATTCAGTCAAATCAAGACTAAAATTTTTGAAGCAAGATTACAATATTTTTGCTTATATATGAGCATATTATGGTTGATTTGAGAATAATCTTTTTTTCTGTGTGTGTATATATATATATATATATATTACGTATACTGAAAATAAATGATGTTATATTAACAATATTAATTTCATTGAAAATAATTTTGTTAATTCAATAACACTATTAATGAAACAAATACATCATGCTCTTGCTTTGATAAAATTTTACTTATTTCATTAATATGTTATGAATTAACAAAATTATTTTCGGTTTAAAAAAGCTGTTGATATAACATCATTTTTTCCAGTGTACAAATATCGGTGTGATGCTATGCGATATGATGCGAAACGTCATGCGCAACAGGGTCGTGTCAGGAATAACTCATGTTTGCAATGATGGTACTCCCTTCCTGTCGAATCTACAAATATAGCATAGAGCGAACGAGGAAAGAAACAGAGAAAAAAAGCACAGCGCGAAGCTGCGCGCTACCATCAGAAAATGTGTCTTCCAAAGAGAAAAAAAAAAGAACAAAAAGAGAAAGGGTGAACGACCAATCTCCTTCCTAGTTGCGAGTGGGCGCACGACGCCGCCTAACGATGCCCAAACGTGTCCAACTGTACTTGGCTTGTAAATATCGGTTTCTAGAAGCACACTTTCGTAGTTTGTCGCGGTATCACGAGCCACCTGTTTTTAGCGTCAATTATACACTGCCTCGTTGTCACGGTGTAGCCCAAATGCCCCAACTCCCGGCTGGGTTTGTGAATTTCATGGACCTCATTAAAGGGGCGAGGACGAATCCCATCGAACAGTTCCTTTTCTTTCCTTTCGTTTATTACGCGATGAGAGAAGGTGACAGTCTCGAGAGCGATCACCAGATTAAGCGCCATTTGTAGTCTACCAACGAATCGTGCCAACCTGGCAATCTGTCATCATCGCGTGCATGGGAATGAATTAGAAACGTGTAAAATTCGTGTCGTAAAGCGTACAAAATTCATCCTGTGCGATTGCACTTGGTTTGTGTTCATGCTGCCAAAATCAAGACTTATCGTCAGATATCGGGAGCACCTAGTTTGTTGCACTTGGACTTGACCGATTGCACTCTGCATTGAATGCACGTAACTTACATACCGCCTGTATAAACGTCATTGTGCTTTCGATTGGTAATGTTATCACGAATATTTAAGAAATCGTGTTAGAAGATTGTAATAACGTGTGACAATAAAAATAGACATAAATTGTAAAGCAACCACGAATATTCATAGCGCCATCAAGTACGCCAAGATCAATTCTAAACCATCGCGTCAGCGCGGATACTTGGGAGACATATTTTCTGATCTATACAACAATCACTATATCTTCCACTGTCTTTCTTCGTTCCAGTTAAAATCCAAGCTTGTTCCAACGGGGCCGGCAATGCTATAATCACGATATCTACGTAACGCATAAATTATCATATCATTCGACTATCTTTTGTTGCCAAAATTTTATTTTCAAATATTTGGAGATGTCATTTATTATTAGTAAAATATGTTTATATATGTGTCAAATATATATGTGTCAAATAGAAAAAAATTGGTAGCCATTTTTTATCTCTTCTAAAATAGTGATATGAAACGATACTGTCTGGCATCAATATCGCGCATTCCAGAATATAAAAAATTGCATATAAAAAAAATTGATAATCTCTCTCTCGATCCGATAATCGCCGGCCTCGTTTTCGCGATTTTACTATCACAAGTGATCTAAGACGACACGATACGGTGCGAGATTGAGGTGGGATTAAGTCGACGATATGTCTTAGCGAGAGAGCGCCCCTTTAATGGCTGGTGGTTGGTTTTGGCAGCCCAGTGGAGCATGGAGCGGGGATGGGCATCCACGCGAGCATAATCCATCACGGTGTGGGAAGTAGCGCGGGGGCAGGGGTCGGGGCTGGAGGTGGTGGAGGGACGGTGGGGACAGCCGCCGCCCCGCCAAACACCAACACTGCCTCCAATGCCTCCTCGCCTCAGCAAGAACCCACTTATGTTAATCTCTAGTCAAGCCTATCGCCTCCCTTCTACTGCAACACTTCTTCTTAAACAGTGGTCAGTCCCGACTTGAAACCTACGGGCTTTCGTCGGTCCTCGCTATGGCCGGCCAGTCGCTCGAAAGATAACTCAAATGATTTTACTGTATCTCACATAACTGGATATTAAACTTTTTTCTGAAACTTGATGATGAGGACATATAGCTCGTTAAATATCATTGTGAAAAGATACGAGCGAAGAGAGCCCCATAGTAAGTGGCACGACGGTGGCCCGTGATGCTCGCATTGTTTCTCATTGTTGTGGCTCTTTACAGCTTATTATTGTTATTTATTTATCCCTCTCGTTTAGTTGGAATTTACTCAGTGTTGCCCTTAGCATGGCTGATCTGTAATATATCATTATATATATACATATATGTTTCTATATATATATACACATGTAACAGTTATTTATTCCGATTTCTGAACGTTTGACACTTATGTTAGAAGGTTTTTATATATTTTAATTTTTTAGCATGACAGTTCATACGATTAAGACCGGATGATTGCGGATGTGTTCTTTTTCACATTTTTTTTTTACTTTTAATATCTAATCATTTTTTCTTTTGTAATATTTTATACAATAACGTATTTTTATACGTGTAGTAACCACTTAAGGCATTTCTTTGAAAAAACATCTCGCTGGCTGAACGTGTAGAATGAAATTTAAGTTAAAATTTTGCACAATTTCGTATTATTCGAGATTGAATCTCGGATTGGATTGCAAACAACCGCGATTGCAGCCGCTTTTAACAAGATACCTGACGCCATGTCTGTAGAGACATTTATTATTTTTAATTAAACAAAAGAAAAAAATGCAAATTATTATTTCTTGTGAGAAATACATTTTTTTAGTATAAATGCGAAGAATACGATTCTTGTTAATCAATGCTAACTGCAATTATACATAACTATCGATAATTGATTTAACAAAAGCATAATATATATATATGTTGCAATCCAGCACGAGATTTTCAAATACCCGTTCGTTGTCGCGCACTAAAACTACGGAATCTAACTCCTGTAAATTTTGTGTAATGCTTTGACATCCAAGTGTGACTGCGAGTTAATAGCAACTTCCGTCGTCCTCGGCAGCACGGCCGATGAAACTAATTGATTTAGCTGAGAGATAAATAATGAGAGCCAATGGCAGAGCGACAAAATGTCTCGACTGCGAAGCAGTTCTCGGACGAGGTCGGACAGGCTCACTTGTGAAAATTGTGCAGTAGCAAAATGCCTTTCTTCCTCTCGTCACACGGAATCTATTCTATCGATGTCCATCTTTTACGCGACTCAAAACTTTACTTTGAATACACTTAGTCGCAATATTCCTAGTTCCACGTAACATACTGTATCCATTCAATGTATGTATACGTACGTTAATTGGCTTGTGACAAATTGATGTCGAAAAAAGAGCGCGGATCCCTATAAAAATTATCGATTAACGAATAATAAATGATTCGATAGATGCCCCCTGGCATTTCGATTGAGTTTTGTTTCCTTTATCACGTACAAATTTTTTACACGTTATGCTTGTTACGTCCAAGAATTTTGAGCATGGCATTTGCGAGCGAGTGATCAGTGTCGAGCAATCGAAGCATTGTCAGGCGCACAAAGATTGTTGCCTTCGGGAATTGAGGCATTGGAACATGAAATAATTTACTAACTCGAGATGGAGAAGTTTGTGTGTCTGACTTTGCGATGATGACGTAATCGCATGTTTTTTTTTTAGTTGGTAACAATTTTAGATGTAACATTTTTCATAGATGCGCATTTCCAACGGTGAGACTTCCACCGAATGTCGAGCCTCGTGTAAGGTTTAGAGATAATTGAAAAAAAATTTAGAGACACAAGAGTGTCGAATTAAAATTAAATGTTGTTTGAAAAATATTGTTCGAAATATTGCTTGATTGGTCATAATATCAGATTGAAGTAATTCTGACTATATGTTGTACATTAAAGAACATCGTGCTTTTATCTCGCATTTCAGGGTATTACCAAAATATAAATAAAAATTTATATATTTGTTATTATTTAAATAAATTATCTCTCACAGATGGAAATTGCAGCAATCGAAAGACAACATTATATTGTGTTTTCAATACACCTAAACGAACACGTACTAATCGGTTTTATGTCGTTATTTGCAGACGTAAGAAGAAATGTATCAGATACATGGGGGAGGGAGGAGACGGCGACGGTGAAGCTGACGGTGAAGCTGAGGATGATCATTCAGAGGATAATCTGGGTAGCGTAGGAGAGGCGGGGACTCCTGAGGAGGACGAATCTTTGAGTAGTCCCGGGGGCCTATCCGCGTTGTCTAGTCTGGCGAGTCCTTCGTTGGTCTTACCATCGCCCTCAAGTCTGGCCAGTCCATGCCCGTGTCCGTGCCCGTTGACGCCCCCGGTGCCGCCTCCGCCTCTGTCAAACACGAACCAGCCGGCGGCGGTGGCAACAACGACGACGACGGCAGTGCAACAACAGCAACCGCAACCACTTCCGCAGCCTCACCGCAACCCCGTCGGCACGAATCCTCACGACATTAACAATCCGCTCAGCGTGAACCAGCTGACCGGACAGTGTATAAAAAGCGAGCCCGCACCTTCGGGCCCTTCCAACCCGGCAATCAGTGTTACGTAGCCCCGGCCGGACCCACGTGACCGAACTGTTGCTACACGCGGTGTCATCTATAGGGTCCGTCTACGTATGCACGCGATAAGAAGGCTGGATAATGAAGAACCGACTGAGATGATGATAAAAACAAAGAGAAGAACTTGGCGAATGAGAAACCAAATAAGAATTGCTTTCGTCGTTTAACGCTTCTCTCAGTTCCGATCTGATTTGGGGGGGGATTTGATAGAGATCAAGGAGACTATAGTATTTTCGAGATGCCTGAAGGTAATTCGAGTGGTTACTTAGTCGAGTTAGACGCAGTCTACAATCGAAGCGGTACCGTTGATGATTCGGATTCGAACATGCGAAATCATTGTGCGAATCTTCCATCGCCATTATGGATTGATAACGTCGCCTTCGATTATTTTCTCCTGGCCTCATTCTTATCCATTTGCCGAAATAGAGATCATTCAAAGTCGGGAATAATGATCAAGACGTTATTATACGTGTTAACGAAAGAACAGAAATAAATACTATGTGCAGAAATACTCAGGACCAAGTAATTTGGTTGTAGTCACCCGCTCAGCAAAAAGACAAATGTAAGCGAGATGTAAGCGTGAGAGAATATATGTGCATGTATGCTTGCGAAGCTGGGGAAGAGCAAGGTGCACGTCTGATAATAATGCGACAGAGAAAGCAAGCTCATTGAAAGTGCGCGTGACGCAGCTTGTAGTCCTTGTTACGTTGTGATGCCAATGACTGAGAGTCATGTTCCTGTGCCAGCTACTATACTCTAGGGAAGTAATTATATCGCGGACAAATAGCTAAAAGCATAAAGCGGAGAAGCCGCAAGAAAAAAAAACGAAGCGGCGCACTCGCGCGTGAGATGCGTTTTATTATCATTTGTTTATTCGACCTCACCTCACACATCAAGTGTGTGTCAAGATATCTAACTTCTATGTATATGCAATTTGTTATTTTTTTAAAAGTCTATACACACAGTGCGGTTGATTAGCATGTAAGATTCTTTTTATCGACTCCCCATTCACTTTCTACTCGAATATTTTTTTCTTTCTCCTTTCTCTTTTTCTTCCCTTATATCTCATTTTTTATAATGTTACATTGATAAATGGCGCTATATGATCGATAAGGTTCTAAAGATAACGTGTTTCTGTAAAACTTGTCAAGCAAACCTTTCCATTTGTTCCACGGAATATAACACGCTGTTAACTACGTAGTTATTAAGTATGAATACGTATATTGATATAACTGCGTATTAATACTAATAATACGTATTATTAAACTTCATGTTTTTATTATCACTGTTGCAATCGACTTAACATCGCTCAATGTTTTCATCTTTTGATTCTTTTCTCAAATTTGATAATAATTTTAGATTCGCATGATTTGTATTTTCGATTGAACAAAGACAATAATAACCGCGATAAAATAAAAATAAAAAACTAAACTCAATGCAATTATTCTCTATAGAAATATTGGAATGAGCTGCGTCAGTCAACTTGCGAGTGTCAAAAGTGACATTTTCGGAAGATTATCCTATAATCTGTTTATTTCTCATATTTTTCTATTACTCTTTTTAAATATTTTCCTCTTATCTTTTCACTTTTACGTATTAACGTGAGCGTTCGATGAGCGTGTAGCAATCCAATGCGACTTGAGGATTAGTTGATTTGTAATCTGTATGTTTGCGCATCAGAGAAATAAGTTTCTCTCTCAAATCGTGGAATAGAAAAATTTTATCGTTGGAACAATCGCTCAATAAACGACGATTAGGAACTGATTTTAGAAAAAACATTTTATGATATCGTAAAACATGGATTTTATTAATGTTTTATATATTTTTCTCCCCGTTATTAATGGAGTTTTTAGCATGTGGTTTCAAACATTAGGATAGTGCAGGTTTTTGTTTCTAGATGCAAAACATAAATATTTTTTATTGGCAATTCTATGTTTTTCCTTATGTTTTATTATATATATATATATTGTTTATATGTATATCGTATCTCGGTGTAACGTGCAAATGTAAAACGTACTATTTGAACAATTAATATGAGAAATATGAAATAACGAATATATTTTTCATTATTTCATGAGTTGTTTTTGTTGCGAAAAATCTATTAGCTCATAATCCTTTTTTTTTTATAAATGTAACAAAAATTAATCGTATGGTAAAAGATTCTTCGCAATATTGTTTTGTAAATGAACAGCTAGTTCTTTCATTTTTATTTGTCTTATCATTAAAATTTTAATCGTCACTAATTTAAAAAAATTTTATTTTATCAATTCGATATTTTAAATATTTACGAAAATGACAAGAATGAATCTTTTTGCAATAAGACATTACACGACATTAGTACGTTTTGTAAAAAGCTAAAAAATCACGTATCGTATGCGCAATTTCGAGCACACCGATTATATAATTGCGATGAGAATTGTTAATGACTGATTTCGTTCTGTTATTTTGGTGCGACATTTTGGTGCGATTCTAGAATTTTTCTTTACCATCTATTACCAAACCGGGAAGAAATGCGCGAGAGGGGTCCTTTGTAACGATTGTTCCGTAAGCGTTTATTTGGAGAGCAGTTTCTCTTTTGTACATAAAATAAATATGTTTTATATAAGATGCATTTGTTGCGGCGCATGGGAAAGTGCAATGGAGGTGCCAATGAGAGAACGAGAGTGTGAAATTGTGCGCGTTTGTGCGCCACGAAACGGAAGTAGACGTTGCACGAGGGTGTACGCGAACGTCTGACAATATTTTTCCTTATTTCCTTTCCGCAATGTGTTTCTCCTTTTTTCTTTTTATACTCTTTTGTTTTTATTTCATTAGTCGCGTTCAGTAGAAAAAGCAGCTTTGCAGTTGTAAAATTCTTCAACATGATTGGTTCCTTAGCTTCTTATCAGATCTACATGCGTAATCAATAATATTAAACAATTTAAACAGTTTTTGCAATTGCTTTTTCTGTTGAACTCAGCCATAGACTGGAAATCATCCGGTGTCTGTATAGCGAACATGGCGAAAACCGCTGTAGAAACGCATCGTCGAGTATAGCAGCGAACTAAACGTGCCATAACAACGTCATGCCAATATTATCCATATAATACATATTGTTTTTGACATTATAATCCATTCCTAGTTCCGTCGGTCGTGGAGCGTCAGCCACCGACGCGAACTTGCCCTTTTCTCCCTCCTTCCCTCTTCACTCGATCCGCCGTTCTCTCTCCCTTCCTAACCGCCTTCTTCGTTTGTCGATCGAACTCGTTAAACAGACTGAAAATGGCATTTAGTAGGAACTTTTTCGCGAATGACGATCTGTATATTACACGATCGCGAATAAAGCGAAATATTTAGCAGTACTCGAACGAAAGGATGTTCGATCGAGGAACTGAAGTACCTATTGAATAAGAATACGGGGCAAGGACAACCAGCAACGTCTCACGAGAGACGAGTGCGGAAAGAAAGGAGGTAGCGGTGGATTAGCGACAGACATAGCCAGTACGTGAAAACGAGACTCTTTAAGTTTCACGCGAGACATTTAAGTATCGCTATACACAGAAGAGAGTGACGTGAGTGGGACCGATTTCTTCCTGATGAGCGATCTGATCGCAAAGGAAGCGGTACTCCTCCATAGATCATCTCGAGCCCGCTCGCTGCCTCCTTTCTCGCTCTGCTAAGAACGACGAGACGACGTCTAGGATTCGGTGGCGAACTGCTCGGGGGACGTGAAAGCGTCCTGGTTTAACCGAGTATAAAGAGAACGTATCCCCTGGGATGCAGAATGCGATTCTTGGAATGCGAGCAAACTCGCTCGATACGGCCTACAGTCCGCTCGAGAAGAGAGAGTATCGAGATTTGCTCGCGAGTCGCAGATGACGACCCCCCTTCCTCCGGTGACGAGGGTGACCAAGCTCGTGCCGATCGAGTCGGGAGTTCGGAGCTAGTGTCTCGCTTCAAAGGAATGATTGTACCATATTGTAAAGTATCAATCGACAGTTCTCAACTGCGTTGTACAGTGTTTTCTAAGTATCTAGGCTGATAGCGCGCGTGTAATTGAGGAAAAGGAACATTGTATTTATACTAATAAGCGATCTGTATCATTCATTCTCGTATAGCCTGTAATCCTACTCATGTAGATGCTAAAAGTAATTTGTGTCATAAAGAAACCCTATAAATAAAATTAGCACTTTGAGAACGTTGTCGACCGCGTGTTCAAATTCTTTCTCTCACTTCCATTTATCTTTTGTTGGCTCAGACACAAAATTTTCGCGTGCGTTTGAGGATTGTGGAATGTTTTCTTAAATTCTGAACGTATCATTGTAGCTACTTGGCGAGTAAAGAAAAGTAAAACGTACAATCGAACATTTATTAATATTTAGATGAACAAATGTCTCTCGTAGTCGAAAAAAAATGCAGGCTCAATACGTTAACCGCGTTCAGAGTATATACATTCGGTCGCTTCGAGTTGCAGTTGTCCACGAATATCTTGGCCATCTTTGCGATACTGTTACACTTGAACATACATGCGGCGCCGTCGTAGGCAGGTTTACCCCGATCGTTTCTCGAGCACGGATCGAACATGTAGAATTTACCGTAATGCTGCATCACAGCCATCGCCAGATTGGTTGTGTGCAATATTCCGGCGCAATTCGCGCGGAAGAACATGGCGAGCGCCTCGGACAGATCGAAGGCATGAAGTATCCCGGCGGTGGTATGATTATGAACATGAATGGTAACCCTCAAGTCACCCACGATGAATACGGTGAGTAACTCACTGGGTGAGAGATTCCTGGCGCCCGGTCGAGCGGCTCGGGCACTCTCCAAGTACAGAGAGTCACCGTATTTGAGTACGGCATCAATCAGCTCGGAAGTCCACGTGGATGGCACGTGCAGCAGCCCCATTACAACGGCGACAGCCGCGATTGCTGTACTCTGCAAACCCCTGTTTCTCAGACTGAAGGTACGATGATTCATGTGCAGGCTGCCATGCAGAACGCTCAGTTCATCGTCCACGATTCTGTACTCATTCAGCGGTTCCACGTTCAACATAACTGTCTTTTTGGGGCAGATAATTGGAACAAGTGGCGCGATACGATCTAAGTATGGTCGAAAACCACTTGGACATGGCAATGTCTCAATTATGACGTTCCTTATGATCACCCGACAGATCTCGAAAGCCCCATATCTCTCACGGGGATCGACGTTTGCGAAGATTGTATCGTATAAAGGTTCCAGGCAAGCGAACCACATTATACACGAAGTTCCGTTAGAATCCGGCAGACCCTGATCGTTTCTAGCTCTAGGATCGTACATGAAGTAAACACCCAGATCTTTCCAAATAGCTGTCATACCGCGATCGGTTATTAGAATACCGGCACGATTATCTTCAAAAAATTTCCGCAAACCTTCCTCCAGTAAAATCGAAGAAGGCAGTGGTTGTTCTCGTCGAGTCGTTCTTTTCTTGCGTTTGTTAATCTTTTCTTTCGTCTCTTCTCGCTTTTTGTCTTCCGAGACGGAAGGTTCAATCGCCACCAGACCGATTACGGTATTAGGCTCGATGTCAGCAGTCAAAACGTTGACACCTGGGAAAATATAAATTCAAAAATTTGTTTAGAATAGTTTTTAAAACAGCTGAAAAAAGAAACGTACAAGAAATATACATACCGACATAGAATACTCTGATAATGTCCTTCGGTTTCAGTCTCGATTCGGGTTTGAGCTTTCTTGTCTCCTGATGAACGTTACTACCGATCGCCAAAATCTCGTCCATAGTTTTCTTCGTCCAGGTGACGGGGCTCTTGACGATCGACATACCGAGCGCAACGACACAATTTGCCGCCGTCTGTCGACCGCGCAACGTCTCGGGGAAGATCTTGTCGCCTTGATGATAGCTTCCACGCAAGATAGCACGCGCCTCGCCCCGTAATTTTCTGTAAGCGTTCAAAGGGGGCAAGTTCGCCGGCCGAATCGCCGGACTAGGATCAAGTTTCCAAAGTGGCGGTTTAGTCCAGTCCAGCACGTCGATCGCAGTAATCTGATAATCGCCTTCTGTTCCCAAATGGCGTAGAAGGTAATCTGTGAGGAGACTCGTGTCCTTGAACCTGATTACTCGCGCTACCGTTGACACGATTTCTTTCGTAGCAGTGGACGAATTGGGTATCAGAACATAATACGCGTCATCGACCTTCCATATGGCTAAATTTTTATTTCCCCGTACGGTCAATACGCCAGCTTCGTACTTATTGAAGAAATTGTCGATTCCGCTCCGTAAATCTTGAATCTTAGGAGCTTTCCCAGTAAGACTGCCCGCTTGAACGCAATCCTTGATTGTTAGAGCGATGCGCCGAGAAGACAGGAAAAACTCATTAATGATTTCGTTCACTAAGGGTGCCGAG